TATCTCTTGCACACATCAATTGCACAAATAACTCCTCTCACTTCATCTTGGTTTTCTTCCCATCAAAGAATATGGTAAACACTTTAAGGTTCTCTGCTACCAGTTGTCTGCCATTGGAATACCATTTGATGAAAAAACCAACCGCACCACGGCGTAGGAAACTAAAGCAGGAGGCGAAGACCGAAAAATGACGACCAGAGAAGGGCGGACGATGGACGGCGAACAACGGCAACGGCTAGGTTTTTGGTTTTGGAAAACCATGCTCTAAAACCATGTTAGAAATTTTGGAGGAAAATAATGAGATTGTATTATTATTATCAAAATAAGAGGCCTATATATAGACGATACAAAAGAGATTTGATAGATTGTAATCTAATTTATAGATAAGACCAAATCTAAATATAAATTATACTAAATCTAAAATAGAATATCTAATTTATCTAAGAGTTAATTTATTATATGAAGCTCAATTTCATGCACATATTTGGTCGAATTGTGTCCTTCTTGTTTAGTTTCGCTAATATAAACGTATACACAAGGTTCTTCTTTCTAGTAGTTTTCCACAAATTAAAAATTAGGGTTTCAGTAGTGATCTTTTGACAAGTTTGTTTTACACTTCTACCAATATAACTAAATTTATTTAAAACAATCGTTAAATTTTATTTTTACCCTATAAATACTTACACTATTGATTGATCCCCTATGCATGATCCTAATGTCTTCTCTTAGTCACACGTACTCTATAACTTTGAGTTTGAGTTTTTGTGTATCTAACTAGGTTTCAAGTAGTTATGGAGGCACTTTATTGAGATTTGTCTCATTTCTTTCTTTGAATCTAATTGAATGATTAATTTATTATATTGAAGCTCAATTTCTTTCAGATATTTGGTCGGATTGTGTTCTTCTTGTTCAGTTTGGGTAATGTAAACAAATACATAACGTTCTTTTTTCTGATAGTTTTACACAAATTAAAATTAAGGTTTCAGTAGTGATCTTTAGAAGAGTAAGTTTTACACTTCTACCAATACAACTAAATCTATTTAAAACCCTTGTTAATTTGATTTTTACCCTAAAGATACTTACACTATTGATTGATCCCTATGCATAATCCTAACGTCTTCTCTTAGTTGCACTTGCTCCATAAATTTGAGTTTGAGTTATATAAATGCTCACGTTTATTTTTACTAAAGTTTTTATCAAATGGAATCATCTATATACTATATTCAATCTTGTTGTCCGCTAGCTGGTAGTTAAGATTTTTGGGAAGTTAAGATTTTTTTTACCAATTGGTTAACAAATTCCTCCCTCTCTCTACCTCTCCCCAAATAATCGCTCTCACATTTTCTCGTTCTACACCTTCGGAACTCTCTCACTCTCCTTCCCCTTATTTTGCACAAGTGTAGAGGTATGTATATATATTTTTGTGTATCTAACTAGGTTTTAAGTAGTTATGGAGGCTCTTTATCGAGTTACGTCTCTTTTTTTTTCTCTAAATCTAAATGAACGGTTAATTTATTGTTTTGTAGCTCAATTATGTTCAATCAATTTTAAATAAATTATATTTTGTTTTTGTTTCAATTATTAAATATAAGTATTGGTAGAAAATTTTATTAGAGTTAATCCTTATACGAGAAAAAAATATTAAATGTGGCAAAATCCAAAGAAAACTTATTGCTAAATAATGTGTCAAAATTATTTTATTAATTGTGGCAAAATTCGTAGATTTTTTTTTTTTTTTAAATTGCCAAATAATGTGTTAAATAATTTTGTGGAAATGTTATTGCAAATGGTCATTTCAGTTTTTTTTTTTTTTTAAAATATCTATGATCATTTTAGCTACTAAATACTTTTTGATAGCTAATACATTTTTATGAATGATTTTATAACAAAACTATTGGTCACATATATTTTACAAAATTTTCATTACTTTTTTTTTAAAAATATTAATCTCTTGTTTTGTGAATTCTTAATTATCTAAAGAAATAGCAAATGATATCAAGGTGTAAAACATGACAATGTGCATGCATGACATTGTGATAATATTTTTCATCAAAGTTGTATAGTATTTCATTATTATTATAAATGAAATAACTTTAAAAGTATAATTAAAGAATACTATATTTTATATTCAAATATAATATAATTATATATTATTTTTTTCTTCTATAGAAAAATAATATTTGAAATATAGTTTATAGTAATTCAATTTTATCATTACAATAAGATTGCAAAAATAATTACATGTAAATAATTATAAAAGTGAGCCCATATATTTGTTACTTAAACATGTCTATATTATTTTCTTATTTTATTATACTTTGTAATAAAAATATACGAGGTGTTAAAATAATAGGACCTTGGTGTATTGCACTTGATGACAGAAAATCCAAAAACCCACCTCCCTCATTTTTTATATAAGATAAAAAAATTTCTGACGGAGAGTGCTAGTTCCTTTCTCTCTTCTCGTCAATTTAAAAGCTATTTTCTGTTCTACATCCACCCAACTATCTTTTTTTCTTCTAGCAAAATTGTATGTTTTCCAAATCATCTAGCTTTTATGTCTTTTTTTTAGATGAAACAAATAAAAATGTTAAAAGTTAAAATAGGAATATGATACTTTTGATGGAGTAGACAATGGAATAAATTTCATAAAACATGTTTTAATAATTTTACATAATAGAGGTGACTTGTATTATTTTTTTATTTGAATATTGTGATGAAGAAATTAGGTTTCAAAACTATAATATGAACTCTAGCGTTTTTTTTCTTTTTTTTAAAGCATAAAGGATAATCATACGTTGATATGCCTTAAATTTAGGGATATGATATAGATATTAAATATTATATCATATATTTAGGGATATGATTTGGATATTATTGACATAGGTTATCTTATAAATAGGCATGTATTTCCATTCTAATAGACGGCCAACAGGCTCAAATCTGTAACCTAGCCGTCGTGAATAAAATCTGTTCTCCATTCATGTCTGTGGATGTAGTCAACACATTGTTGGTGAATCACGTAAATCAGTGTCTTCTTTACATTTTTTGTTTGTTATTAGATCATCAACCCTAATCCATCACAACAAACTGGTATCAGAGTCTGGTCGTTTCGATCAGAGTTTTGGTTATTTCTGCACTGCTAGGGTTTCGAGAGTCGATCAACAATGTCTGCTTTCAAAGTAAAGGTTGAAAAATTCATCGGAGGGAATAGTTTTGGTTTATGGAAGATCAAGATGCTATATTTGCCAAAGCATCAGGTTTTGTGGGCGCCACTATCTGAAAAACCGAGAGGTGCAAACGTAGATGATGAAGAGTGGGATACCACAGAGGAGAAGGCCCACTCGACAATCATGTTGTGTCTGTCCGATGATGTAATTATCGAAGTTGTCGATCAGAAAACTGTTGTTGGCCTTTCGAAGAAGTTGGAGAGTTTGTACATGACGAAATCCCTAACTAATAAGTTGTTTTTGAAGTAATGCTGTTCAAGCTACGAATGCAGGAAGGAACTGCTGATATGTTCACCAAATTGGTCTCTCATAGCAAGTTTCTACGCTGTTTGAACTTGCTAAATGTTACAAGCTGGTAGTTGCCCGAGGGCCAAATCTGAGACAGAATGGAGGAGTCTGTTCATCTGGCATTGTAATAATTCATCTTGAAGTGAGATTCAAGTCAAGGTAGAGATTTGTTGATATGTCTTCTAGCTAATTTGTCACTTGTTCATCTGCCATTGTAATGATGCATCTTGAGTGGGATTCAAGTCAAGGTGGAGATTTGTTTATATGCCTTGAAGCTAGTTTGTCACTTGTTCATCTGACATTGTAATGATGCATCTGGTGAGATTCAAATCAAGGTGCAGATTTGTTGATATGCCTTGAATCTAGGGGTATGATATAGATATTAGATATTATATCCTAAATTTAGAGATATGATTTGAATATTATTGGCATAGGCTTACCATGTAAATAGACATGCATTCCCATTCTAATAGGCCGCCAAGCAGCTCAAATCTATAACATGTGACCTAGTCGTCCTTAATAAAGGTAGATAACACGTTGTCGGTGAACCACGTAAATCTGTGTCTTCTTTACGTTTTATGTTTTTTATTTGATCATCAACCCTAATCCGTCACAATATTATACAATTTATAGTATGAGTTGTGTTTCAGAGGTAGCGATAACGTTTGTTAGGTTGTTAAAGAAAAATCTAAATATATATATATATCGACATGGTTTTCCAAATTTGTTGAATGAAATTGCTAGGCCCGACATTCAAGTCATACTAGGTGAACCATGTGTGGTAGGTGACCTGGAGGCGTTGGGGTTTGAACCCATGATCTCATGGTCATAAGTCCATCCCCACACTACTAGGCCATCCCTTACGGGACGAAGGAGCAGTGACATTTGTTGCTGCGGACATACATTTGTGTTAAGAATTCGGTTATTAGGTTTTAAGTTTAGGTTTATTAACGGGCTTGTATAATAATTTTAATTGAAATTATTGGTGTGTAGACATTGCCACATGGGCATTACATTAAATAGGAAATATTTTACCGTAAAAAACCTATGCACATATACAAGTTTAAGAGAAACATTTTTGGTCTATTTTGTCCGTGTCTCGATTAGTTTTAATCTATATATTCTTGAAATAAGAATTTTGATCCCTTATCTATTAATATCATTCAGATACTCTTCTCCATACCTAAATTCCGAAGAAACAAACTGAAACAAATAGGAAATCCCATCTCAAATTCAGCTGGACATTTCATCGAAACATTGAATCCAAAACAACAATTTTCCAATAGGATGAATTGAATAAGAAAAATATAGCAAATAAGCCGATCCTGTAATGACCATCAGACTTTTCCTGCAAACAAATAGGAAATCCCATCTCAAATTCAGCTGGACATTTCATCGAAACATTGAATCCAAAACAACAATTTTCCAATAGGATGAATTGAATAAGAAAAATATAGCAAATAAGCTGATCCTGTAACGACCATCAAACGTTTCCTGCATTCTAAAACTACTTCTTAATCAATAAACACTGCAATCTTCGCATAGCAATATTTCTTAACTATTACAACAACATTATCAGTAGATACATTAACAAAAACAACATATCTTCTTGTATACCTGAGAAAGCCAGCAAGTTGAAGACAGAAAACAAATAAAATGATCACAAGTATTACAATTTCATATATGAAATAAACAATGGATCCTCAAAATTACCTGTTAATCATCTCCGTTTTTGTCTTCATGCTGGAACTCCTCTTCGTCTTCATGTTCAGACTCATGTTGTCGAATGAATTTACTGATAGGGTGCCATTCCCAACGGTACTTGACAAGAATCTCGAGGGTATCATTTTCCATGCTCTGTTGCTCCTCCCATATTTGGCAAGCCGAATCGAAAGCAGATGGACCGCAGTCTTCCAACTCAATTCTATGTAACGTTGGAATATCTCCAATGCCCGAAGGAATTTCTTCCAACGAATCTATAAACTGTAGCCGAAGCGCTTCAAGAGTAGGGAAATGTTCCCTATCAGCTCTCCATTGCACTAAATCAGAATACCAAATTGTCAACTTTTTCAGTCGAAGAAATTCCCCCTCAACTGGATACCATTCTGACCCCTCAGTGGCTTCCCTCAGTTTAAGTTTCTCAAGATTGGGTAATGAGCCAATGATCGACAATCCACTCCAGGGAATTTTGTAGGTGCTTCGCTCCAGACACAGCTCTTTAAGAGAACTCGGAAATGCAATGTTCTTCGGAGCAAATGCTATTTTCAGTGACTGAAGTTTCTGTAGTTGGATAAGATTACAAAGGGAATGGTTCGATGATTCAGTACTACCTTCACCCTTGGACTTATAAGAGACTTCCAGTGTATTTAGATTCGGAATTCTATCCAATGCATCCTTTGTCCAGTTGAAGTTTCGAATTCCAGAAAGGGTCTGCAACTTTTCGAGAACAATGGACTCTCTACCCTCAGCATGTGTAGCTGTGGCAGGATCTGGAAAAATAGCCATACGAGGAGTGACTACTAAATGCCTAAGTTGCGGCATTTCCCAGATTTCATCGGGAAATACTAATTGATATGATGGCTCATAAACAGTAATTTTTAAAGTCTGGAGATTCCAGAGTAATTGTAACGATGGCCATACGTATACCACATCTTCACGGGTTGTAACAGAAACATACCGCGCTTGAGTAGGATGCAAAAAGTCGAATTCATCGTGGCTACCGCTCATGATCCCCGCCAACCTTTCCCTCGTAATATGCGAATACATCATTCTGCATGAACCACAAATGGATGGAGGACTTACTCCTGATGGCGACGGGAATATAAGTTTCGAGACATCTATCACATCGTCCGGGGATGCGTCGCCACAAAGAAAGCACACTGCAGCTCCGTCGTTTTTAGTGTCTTGCACCTTCGGGGATCGTATAAACTGTTCCTTTTCAACCTCTTTTAGGCATAAGTGGCGTAACAGATCATGAATACCGCAAACTTTTATTTTACCAATGATCGTCTGTTTGCGGACAAAAATAAGATTCCTGGCAAAGAGATCTTTGATAAATTCCATAGCAATGTCCTCCGAACTTCTCTCATCCACAGCTCTTATTAATCCGTTAGCAATCCATCTGCGAGTTAGGTCGGCGACAACAATCTTACTATCTTCAGGATAAGAGCCGAGAAAGAGGAAACATGATTTGAGAGGAATGGGCAAATGGTTATAGCTTAGAGATAATATCTTCAAGCAATGTTCGTCGTACCCTGAATTACCAAATGAGCTTACATTTTTCGCAACAGATTCCCAATATTCTCTAGACATGTCGGATTTTGAAAGTAGACCGCCAATCACAACAATTTCCAAAGGAAGTCCTTTACAATTTTCGACAATCCCTCTCCCGAACTCCTGTAACTCGGGATACGGGCAATCTTTTTCTCCAAAAGTTGTCTGACAAAATAAATTCCAACTTTTTTCGGAATCTAAAAATGTCATGGGATAGGTGGAAGACCCGAGATAAGCAGCCACATCATAGAGCCTTGTAGTTATCAGAATCCGACTTCGATTACAATTATCCGGGAAATACTTCCTTAAATCATCCCATGCTTGCACACTCCAGACATCATCCATAACAATCAAATACCGTCTCTTGAATAATTCTTTGTGCAAAGATTCCCCCAATCTATCAATATTTCCATCATTCGCTTTAACTTTACCGTCATTTAGAAGGCCTACTAGGATGTCCTGGACCTTATACTCTTGTGATACTGTAAGCCAAATGCATCTATCAAAATGATCGGCAATATATTGATTATCGAAAACAGCTTTTGCTAGAGTTGTCTTGCCATTTCCCCCCATCCCCACAATAGGGATGATTTGGAGATTCGGTTCATCTCTCGTCAGCACATCCATAATCGCGACCTCATGTTCATCAAATCCCACTATTGTGTTCTTCCCATCTGAAGGAGTAACCGACGAAGTTTCCCCATGCTCAGAAAGTTTAGGTTGTTTTCCAGGTTGAACATCCTTCGGTACCTCTTCCTCAGCTAAAATCTCATTCTTGATGTATTCAATACTATCGATCACTTGCTCGATATCTTCTTTGAAAGCTGAAAGGCCGGAAACACCCGTTTCTCCCTGATATCGGAGACGGATTTCATAGACTACGTGGAAATCAATTATCTGCTCTGCAGCAAAGACAACCTCACCTAATTGCTTCCATAGATCTCCGTTTACTTCTCCTCTTCCAGAGTTAACTTCAAGGAATTTCAAAAAGAAATTGACACCTTCTTCAAGATATTCAATCTGTTTCATGTCCACATGAAGGCGTCCAAGCTGAGCACGGCAATGAACGTTGTCGAGGACATGAGCAAGAGAAACCAACGACGCGTAAGCAGCTACAGCCATATCTGAGTTCTCACAAGGGATCTGAAGAAGAGAGAAATTGGAGAGGCAGCTGATGGCTTACTTTTGTTTGGATGAAGAGATTAAACTGACGACTTTTAATTCAACAACTTTTAGGCATAATTTGTTCATTTCCCATGTACAATTGACAAATATATTTTCCATTATTGCATCAAGTTGATGATTAATATACATTAAATTCCAACATCAAAGCTGAAAAGCATATCCAATTTTAATTAAGCTACATTAATACTCAAACAATTGCAAGTGGATTGAGAACCTTAGCTGTTACTCACTGCAGAATAAACCAGGCTCATATTCTTGTCAGAATACTTCCAAATCTGGTGTCAAATATGTATAGCTTATTAATTAATTCAGAAACACACCATGTCCAAACTGGATATATAGCCTGCTGTATATTAACCACAACCCTTAATTTTAAAAATGATTTTTATCTTTTAGTTGTATGTTCTTAGATTTTTTGTACAATAGTTTTGTGATTTAGTGATCTGGAAAAGCAATGTATTGGGAATGGAAAAAGAGATGATCCATAATTAAAGAGATGATTAATCCTGTCAAATAGAGTTTTAGTGTAATGGAAATCCGTAAAGAAATATCTCTAATGTAATCAGTTGGTGATTTGTATTTTTTGTTTTTGATTATTATTATTATTATTTATTATTGTTGTTGTATACGTGATAAATAATACGATAATATTTTATTAATATTATTATATTTTTTTAATAAAAGTAATAATTGAAAGTAAAATATATTAGCAAATTATTATCATTTTTCTTGAAAATATATATATTTTTATTATAAATATAATATTAAAAAGATATTATTATCATAATTATGGAATATAGTATATTCTCATTTCGATGTCGTTGTCCGATTTCATATATCAAATACACTATATTGTCATATCGGTCACAGTGGAATAAATATTTATATGTATATTTTTTGTAGAACCGTTAACTTATACTTATTTACTTATTATTATAATATTTTTTTCAAAAATTTTAAATTATGTTTTTTATTTTATTTATATACATATATATTTTTTATGTGAAAATATTATAGTATATATAATAATAATAACTAATAAAAAATATAAAAATAATTTGATATATTGAATGATAAATAATACTAAATTATAAAATTAAAAATATTAATATACAATATAGTAGTGTTATATATGTTATAAGGTTTCTACATTATTAATAAGTATATATCATTTATTTATTTATTTTATAAAAATATAATAATATATAATAACTTTAATTATAAATATATTATATTTATAAAACTTGTGTTTGATATAAATTTATACAATTATATATATCAATAAAAGAATTATTCTTCAATTCTGCAAAATTCATATAAATTCATAAAAAATTCAAACAAATCTATAAAAATTCCATTGAATTCTCAATTAAAGACACACCTTTAAAAATCATTGATTAATATAGATATCATAAAAACAGAAATGAAGAAATAATCGATTTCAGATATTAGAATTATCTTATCTAAACAGACGAGGAAAATATAACAATTAGTCTACATAACAAGGAGACACTGAATGCTTCAAAAAATATTGTCAATCTTACTGCCAAGTACAAACTGTGCACTTACTCATAGTTTGTATAACAATCTTGCTGCTTGACCTCGTAACAATATGATATTGCATACAAAAATTCATTAAAAAAAAAAAAAAAACACTATACCAAAATTCCAAAAATAAAAGTGCATCATTTTTAATTTTAATTTTCCAAACCAATCCAATCAAAGTAGTTGTTTCATGCTCTAACCATTCCTTCATTTTCTCACCACTAAATGAATCTAACTGATCAGAGTTGCAAACAACCAATCCAATCAAAACAGTTCGTCATTCTGAATATTCTTTAACTTATCCAACAAAAAGAATTAAATCATACCGGAATTTCTATTAGGCGTCACTAACCTGCGAGATGCCAGTGAAAGAATGGACAACAATGACTTTTATTTATTACATATAATGATTGAATTTACGATTTACCAGACAATGTCAACGGTGTGTTTGTTCTATTTTTGAATTATAGTCTACCCGTAACTATATATAGTTTTAAGAAAAAATATATATAGTTATTAAATACTTTAGGTGTGTTTGTCTATGGGTTTTAGTTTTTGGGTTAAGATTTTTTAACAGTAAAACGTTGAATTTGAATAGTTGTTTGATGTGATATTTAAAATGTAAAATAAATTTATAGTATAGTATAATAAAAAATAATTGTTTAATATGATATTTTTTTGAGGAAAAAAAAATCTGTATAGTAAAAATCTGCAACAAAACTCACAAAAGAACACAATCTTAAATTTTTCTTTTTCTGGACTTTTCATTTGTGTTTCGGTTACTTTTTTTATTATAAAAATAAGAATATAATTATTTCTCACAAAATCACATCAAATTAAACTATTGTTTAAACAAAAATAATAAAAATAACCATAATACAAGTGAAAATTCCAAAAAAGAGACTAAATTAAGTATTTAATAACTATATATTTTTTCTTAAAACTATATATACTTAGGAGCATACTAATAAGTCAAAAGTAGAACAAACATGTCCAATCCACAAAAGGAAAAAGCAGAATAAATGTACCCTTTACGTTGTTTGGTAAATTGTAAAGTTAAGTAATTATATGTAATAAATAACAGTTCATTGTTGAACATTTTACATCTTGCAAGAATTTTGGGGTGCATGTGAAAAATTTAATGGATAAGTTAGTTTCAACTTCTGATGTTTAATGGAGAAATCGAGGTATAATTTAATTCTTTTTGTTGGATAAGTCAAACAATATTAGAAGGATGAAATGCTTTGATTGGATTAGTTATTTGACATTCTTTCTGTTAGACTAATTTAGTGGTATGAAAATTAAATTTAGGCTAATTAAGGGAACTGAATTGATAAATATTTTTGTCAAATATTTTAATATTTTCATTGCATACATCAAGTATTATGAAGATTAATTTATTTCTAAATCTTTTTAACCATATTGTCTCATTATTATATAGACTAATTAAATTATAAATCTCTGTTTACTGTTTTTATCTTTTACAATTAAACATTTACGAAACTTTTAAAATTATTTTAATTTTTCAAAAAAAAATTAAGAAAAAAACACAAATCACCAATTAAATATGTAGGAAATATATATATTTTTCTACTGATTCTCTTTTCATTAAAAATCTCTTTTACTCAATTCATCATGTCCATGCATCATCTCTTTTTCCATTAGCAATACCTTGCCTTTTCTAAATCTCTAAATAACAAAAGTATTGTTTGTACAAAAAAATTTAACAATAGACAACTAAAAGATAAAAGTTATTTCAAAATTTTGTCATATATAATAAACTTATCTAATAGAATGATAACAAAGTACACTAACAAACAATCACTATCAAAATATCAAGAGAACATTCTTAAAATCTTATAACTTAATCTATCAAATCGAACACATTTAGTGCAAATTTAGAGCAATTTCAAATTAACAATCGGTCAAAATAAAATAAATTAAAAAGTTACAAAATTCATCATAAATCTATACAAATCACAACCTATTCTACATATTACTGCATTTCAAAATCATCAGAAACCTATACTAATAATGACAATATATTATACTTGGATAAACTAAACTGTTTTTTAGTCATGTAACTGGACCCCTTATCATTTTAGTCCCGTAAGTGGAGCCTGTCGCAAACTAGTCCCATAAGTGAAAATTTTTTCGCTGTTTTAGTCCTCCGGCGCCGGAGACGCCCGCATGGCTCGCCGGAGGCGACATGTTCGCCAGGTCAGCGACACTTGGCGGACACGTGGATTTTATTATATATTTTTTTAATTTTTTAAAATTGATTTTAAATTGATTTTTCATTTTATTTGCCTTTTTTAATTTTTTTTATTTGGTCCAATTGAAAAAAAATTAAAAAAGAACTAAAAATAAAATAAAATTCACGTGTCCGCCTGGTGTCGCTGATTTGGCGGGACACCCGGCGAACACGTGGCTTCCGGCAGGCCACGCGGGCGTCTGTTGAGCCGGAAGACTAAAAGAATGAAAAATTTTCACTTATAAAACTATAAAACTAGTTTGGGACGGGCTCTACTTAGGGGAGGATCCAGTGCTAGGTTATAGGCTAAACAACAGTTTACCCATTGTTTATGCCATAAAACAAGGTAATTTATAAGAGAGAAACAATATAATTCCCGACTTCTTCCAAAACTGCACAATCAATCGCATTTTGTTTCTGGCAACAAATCAACGAAACAATTCCCAAACAAAAATGATCAACCAACTCATCAATTTATTTCCTCGAAAAAACTTTAACTCAACACGTAACTTTATATGTACTCCCGGGAATATTCTTAACCTCTGATGCCCAAGGACTGGATCAAGTCAGCGTTCTTCGGCTGGTGGATGACCTTTTAAAGTATATCTTTGTCTTGGTGTGCTGGATCATATCTTCCAGAATCCTGTCCTCAATCTCCGGCATCTGCTGCTTTGATATAATCCTTCTCGTTCGAAGAAAAGCCGAAGACAAATTCTGATAGTTCGCGTTCAGACCCTCTTTCATCCGATCCAAGGGCGGAATATAATAAAGACTGGTCAAGAATTTTCTCGATCACCGGAATCTCCGACGAGCAGCAAAGTCCGACCACATCGAAGTAGCACTTCTCCAGCTTCGCCGCCGCCATATCTCTTCACCTCGGAAGCTCCTCTTTCTTTCTCTCTCTCTCTCTTCCTGTATGACCGCAAGAAACAAAAAAAAATCAAATCAAACAACCTGCGTACACATTAATAATGGAAAATTGAAGTTAGGACACAGAGCTATCTAGGAAATTAAAGGAAACCTGAATTGAGGAGAAATTGGAGAAACAGAGTGCAGAAAAGGAGGAAGTTTGAGATTCTTCACATAAAGAAGAAGGAGAATGGAAAACGGGTAGGGCGAATGAATTAATTTATTGGATTTGGGTTGTGTAAGGGAGTAA